GAAAATGTTTAACCGGTGCATTCTGCCTGCAATACTGTTGAAGTCTTGCTCTGAGTTGCTCAGAGAGCAACGATAAAAGCTCTGCTTTGAGTTACTCTTCTTTAATTTCTTCATCAGAGCATTAAATCACAAAAGACTTGGATCTCGTTCATTATAAGGAAGTATTTGCCTTAATCGTAACGCTGGACGAGCGTTGAATATCGTGTTTAATTTTAACTTATATTTAATTCCTGACGTTTCGAGTGCTCTACATTACCCATGGTCACGGGTATTCAATTTTTTTTATAGGATAGGGCGACAAATAAGCACACTGTCCACCTGATGGTAAGTGGTTGCTATGGCCCATAGACATCTATGTCTATCCTCGATTACGAATCAAAATGCAGATGCGTTGTGTCACCCGTGAGGACTAAGATGGAATGCCTCGTTTCCAGTAAAAAGGTCTCCGGTTCTCTACACTCACCATACGAAACACAGCATTATTAAGCTACTATTCTGTGAGAGTGCGGTACTTCCCCGGTCGAGCCGACCCATTCGTGCTACAACTACACTACTAACTATAACTGCAGCATGGCTCTACCACGTATAATCCGTAGTAATCGCGTTAATTATTAAAACTTCTTGCACCTTTAACGCTGCTTTCCATCCCTGGTCCTGGCTATATTTGTTAGACGTAAACGATATGGTTAAACCGCCATCTCTCGTGAGTCATCAGATCTTTGTTACATCTCCAAGAGTAACGTAGAGAAAACGGCGGATTTGGTTTTCATTTATGTTTAGGTACTACTGGTATATCATCACCGCATTCGGTGAACAGGAGATCAATGGTACAGTCCCGTTGTCAATGAATTTGCAAGTGTCGGGGATTGCTTTGTAGTCTACGGTGAATTGAAAAGAAGGCAAGTAATTTACGAGAATGCCGTGAAGCTGAGGAGAGAAGCAAGGCTCATAGCCGTGTCGAACACTGTAGCGCAGCGAGTAGCTTGAAGCAACAGGAAGCATATTTCAGTGCTGCGGTGAACCATATAAATCTAGATGGCTTGCAAGATTTAAAGACTGCAGATGATATCTGATACATTATCATTTTCAAGGAAATCATTGATATCAATAAATATATTTAATCATTACAGCCAATTAAAAGTTCATTTTTAAAATAAGCCACCCCTATAGATTAACTCGTAGGGTTGATATTTGCCGTTTCGCCACGCTTGAAAGGTGTGCTGGAGCCCGCAATAATATTAATCTTGATTTATGATGTTGTTGTAATAATAATAATCTTGATTTAAGATACTGTTGCCCACCTTCTGTCGCCTCTTACTACACCCACGTTATGATATATGGTAGTGGGTATTTTTACGCCGTCACCACACGACTAATTATACCATTTTTCATAACATTATGTGAATGAAGATAGCAGCGCTATTGTAAATTTTCATAGACATAATATGTCATAGTTATGATCGTTACATAATATTGTTTCGATATACTTTCTTTGTGGCATAAATTCACAATGTACACAATTAATCTCATCAACAAACTGGACTTTAAAAACAAAACATTACTAATCCAGTTTAAGCCAACACCGTGTTATCTCGTATCACTCGCTCTGACATTGAAACGCGTTATTTCATATTTGGCAGCTGTAGGAGAATTTTCGGAATTAGTGCTAAATGCGACTGAAACGTTTGAATACCTACATTCTCAGCAAACAATTGGGTTGTACGCAGAGCTTTGTTGATTTGGTTCTCAAAAAAAAGATACTCTGAATATGCGTCTTATCATGAGAGTGTATATAAAAAAAAAAACATTGAAATACACAAAATAAACAATGGAATGTTAAAATTTATTTAACACAAAGGAATTTATAGTTGCATTTATACAATAAATGAAACTAATTTTACAAAATTTGTCGCGTTTAATTTTAACTTTTTCCCGACGTTTTGGGTGCTGTACAGCACATATGGTCACGGGGAGGACTGAGCTTGTACTCTCCTGCATCAAAACTTAATTGTGAATTTAGTCTCTTTTACATAAGACAAACTAAAATATCTATGGAAAACCCACGTCAAAGAACATATAGTTAATGTGGAGCACCGACGCTCCGGAAAGACTGTGGTCTACGAACATGTTCAAGATCATCCCCGCCATTACATCTGACTTGATAAACAACAAATCCTCGCAAAAGAACACCGATTCCTACCAAGAATTATTCGCGAGGCTATTGAAATTGAAAACCATACTAATTTCAGTGCAATTTTACACGCATTTGGATATCTGACTGTTCACTTGTCTGTATGCTGTCATACCTGCTGAAGACTGCAGCTTTATTTCCCGTTTAACAGTCATAAGATTAAGAGCGTGATCAGAGAGTTTTTGGGTTCTTCTGCGACGGGTCTTACAGAACTTAGCTCCGACCGCGTGGACAGTTTCCTCTAACTTTTCGTTCATATCGTCGAGTATATCAATCTTTTAGGCAATGAAAACGGTTTTGTGATTCGAACTGAAAATTTTCGGCATTGGATTAGATCACAAAAGGGACAGAGCATTGACTTAATTAAACGTGATCTCTTCAACTTAACATTAAGGTTCAATGTGCCTCTTAACCATTCGGTGATTTCTACCAGTTTTCACCCTCGTGATTTCTGAGGTACCACTGAATAGTTGCCGTCTGGTTGTCATAAAGTAAAAGTAAAGTAAAGTTACAGCCTATATATGTCCCACTGCTGGGCTCAGGCCTCCCCTCATTTCTGAGAGGGTTTAGGGCAAGGAAGTGTCCGCCGCGCTGCCCAAATGCGTGTTGACGAACTTCACATGTCTTCGAAATATTTTTTTTCTTATTCCTCAGACATGCAGGTTTCCTCACGATGTTTTCCTTCACCGCCGAGCACGTGGTAAAGACTTAAATGAATTAAATTGTTTAAGTCAATTTCATTTTTTGTTGCACTGTCGGGGCTTGACCAGGTCCACTTTTGTGGTGCCGCTTCTAGAAGAAAGAGTTTGCCTTAAAAAGTGTACATATAAATAAAATTAAATTGTCTATATCTCCGTAATGTTGAAAAAACTGGATTATATTAAATTCAGTGGGTTTTTTGAACGTGAAATTGATATAATTAATCATGATAAATATCTTAAGTCTAAATAACGCCACATTTAGAGATCCCATGCAGGCGAATCCGGGGCGGATCCTGAGTTTATAAACTAAAGTTGTTAAGCCTATTTGACTCCAACTTTACATCAATAATGCATAATGGAATCCAACATATTGTTCTATAGCATTTTACAATGTCATAGAACGCGAGCAAAACCGAGTTCGATCTCCGCTGGCACCCATGACATTGTTAATTGAAATTTTAAGTAGCGTTTTACCTAAACGTACCCAACGATAAAGGAAAACATCTTGAGGTCGTCTAGGGGACTACTAAGGAAATAAAAAGATTTCCGAAGATATGTAAAGTCCACCAACACGCATTCTACAAATTTAAAAATAAAAAAGGCTGATATTTCTACAATATTAAATTAATTTAATATTTCATTCAAAGCGTAAGCAAGTCTTAGCTACTCGCATACTACACTTTTTGACGAAGTAGCGTCGATTGATTTAACGCTCTAAAAATTAGGTCAAACAAAGTGCCTTCTTGAAAGGCACTTATGTAATTTTTTAAATTTTAACATATTACATAGCGTCAGTAAGTAGTTAAAACGACGTATAGTGTAACATTTTGGTAAAGTGCGTTACTATGAAATGAAAATAAAATTAAGATCAAAAATTAAATGCAACATTTTATCGAAAAATGTTTAACGATGTGACAGTTCAGTTGTTCACAACAGAAATTTCGAAATTTATCAATGAGTCAGGTGTTACTTTCTGAACTCCAACATAGTAATGTGTCTTCCCTAGTTTACAGACGTTCATTTAAAATTAAAATGATTTGTGTTACCTATGTCGAAATAAAGATTCGGGTGTTCCTTCCTAATTCCATAAGTGGAACATCTGAGCGCAGTAATTGAATTCAAACATTTGTGTATTGATGTTTTCTACACAGAACGTGCGTATTACGTGGTATAGCTATGCTGCAGCTATATTAGTAGTATAGATGTAGCACGAATGGGTCGGCTCGACCGGGTAAGGACCACGCTATCACAGAATACCAGCGTAAAATAGCAGCTTAATACTGCTGTATTTCGTATGGTGAGTGTAGAGAACCGGAGACTCTTTTCTCTGGAAACAAGGCATCCCATCTTAGTCCTCACGGGTAACAACGCATTTGCGTTTAGATTCCTAATCGAGGATAGATGTAGATGTCTATGGGCCACAGCAACCACTTACCATCAGGTGGACTGTGTGCTCGTTTGTCACCCGTTATGCTATTAAAAAAAAAACAGAAAAGTCGTCATTCTTTTCAAGCTGACAAAATGACGGGTATATTCGAATCATAATTAAAACTTTTCAGAATCTGTACATGTATAGTCATTGACAGACAGACAGTCAATGACTACATAAATATTAACAAAAATTATAATATGTATCGATGGTAATTCTCTGTAATTTCGCTAGTTGTACAGGGCTATGGCGCAATGGCACTTGCGCAAAATTCGTTGTAATTACGAAAACAAATTAAACAAGGACCAGATTTTTGTTTGTCGTTGTGTATACAAAATTTTTTTGCTCATAACTCTGCCAAATAAAATCAGAAATAGGCCTAATTAATTTTTTATTAAATCGGTTTCTGAGATATCGGTGAACACTGAACATAGATAAAAAACACGCACACCCAATATACAACGTTTTTTCAACTCGGTTAAACACATGTCCAGCTGCGGCTTTTGCATGCTGATAAAAGGAAAAGAATATTTTCTTTATGATTTATATTTTTTAAATAGTTTTTAATAATTTCCTTATTATTCCAAATCAGCATAAACAATAACAATAACAACAATGTATTAAACAAAAATGTTACAAAACATTAGTTATTATTAATAAGATAATTTTCCCTTTACAGGTATAGGCTTCGGAATGATCTACCTTCCGTCTGTGGTAGCAGTAGGCTACTACTTCGAAACCCGTCGCTCCCTCGCCACGGGTATAGCTGTATGCGGATCTGGAGTTGGAACGTTCAGCTTTGCGCCGCTGGCCGCCATATTGCTTAAAGAATTCGGTTCGTGGCAGAACGCGAACCTTCTGCTCGCCGGTCTTATATTGAACTGTGCCGTATTCGGTGCTCTAATGCGGCCTTTGGTGTATCCGAAAGTAAGTTAATGAAACGAAATGAGGTTATTTTATATAATTTTATACATCGGTGAGTCGTATGCCGTTTGCCTCCTGTTCTATAAAAAAAAACACTAGGACAATGTAGTCACGAACTCCAAGTCGACATCTTAAATTAATCAACTTTTTATTAATTAAGGAAAGAATTTTCGTTCATTACTAAGAACCTTCGCATACCACAACATTTTTTTATACGATAGGGTGACATACGAACACATAGTTCACCTGATAGTAAGTGGTTGCTGTGGCCCATAGACATCTACATCTATCCTGGATTACGAATCAAAAATCAGATACGTTGTCATCCGTGACGACTAAGATGGAATGCCTCGTTTCCAGTAAAAAGGGTCTCCGGTTCCCTACACTCACCATACAAAACACAGCAGCATTAAGCTACTATTTTACGCTGGTATTCTGTGAGAGCGTGGTTCCATGTTTTCAACCATGGAACCGACCCATTCGTGCTACAATTATACTAGTAATATAACTGCAGCATGACTATCAGGTATGAAACGTATAAACATTTATAACTTATTGTATTTATTAGATCAGATTGCCGACGATATTAATTAAAAGAAAGTGACAATAATTATGTAGTTACATATAAAATTACGTACAATATCTGTTAACATTGAAAGTAATAGGTTCAGCAGAGCATTATATAAGTGCCGTGGCAGCGTGAGAGAATCCACTATTCCCTACCATCCTGTGGGTGTCGTAAGAGTCGACCAGGAAATGCCCGAAAGATCTCATGGCATCTAATAGATACTGGTATAATGTCGACGGCCGAGTGCTTTCCGATCGGCTCGATTCACTCGCGCTGCGAAGAGATGTTGCATCTCTGCGTATTTTATCGCATCTATCACGGGGAGTGCTCTGAGGAATTGTTCGGATTAATCCCAGCCGCCAAATTTCATGAACGCACAACGCACTACGCGGCAAACCTCCCGATACCATCCACACCATCTGGATGCTTGGTGGTCCACCACTGTACGTTTCACTAGGAGTTTCCTTCCGCGTACGACCTGAGAACCTCCAAGAAAAGAGCTTACTACTTTCTAAAGGGCCGGCAACGCACCTGCAATTCCCCTGGTGTTGCGGTTGTTCATGGGCGGCGGTAGTCACTTAACATCAGGTGAACCGTATGCTCGTTTACCCCCTCTTCTATAAAAAATAACCATCTCGTGTACACCAGATGTTAAATACCCAGACCAGAAACGGGGAACAGCGTTAAAGGTGCGAGAGCTCTGCTACTGTAGTTGTCAAGCGTGGTCATCACGGCAAATCCGCCCTATAACAGGAAAGCCCTACGCCTCTCGTATATCTACGGTCTTATGAAGAAAGGGAAGACAGAGATAATTTAAAAAGTTAAATCAAAAAATTCTAATAAAGTAATTCGTTATTAAATAATAGTTATTAGGAAATTGCACATGAAAGCGTTTATGTACGGGCAGAAGCCAATAAGTTATAATAACATTTGATTATAATATTTCAGACATCAGGCGAAAAGCCCTTATTGCAGCGAATGGCTGAAGAGAAAAGACTGCAAATGGAAAGAGGCTCTATAGGAGGTTCTTACTTCGTAGTGCAACTACCCGACGGCACTATGGAGAAACGATTAAAGGTAATATCAATATGTATATTTTACTTTTGTAATTCTTGTCAATATTCAGATCTTTTTAACGGGTTTAAAAAAAAAGAGAAAGTTATCAATTAAACTGCATGCTCTTTTAATGTGTATAATAAAACGATGAGCCCTTTTTATTTACCGATGGGACTGACTACTCATGCTGTTCCAATATAAATTTTAACTTAATCCAACATAGTTATTTTAAAATAACACAATAATAAATATTAAGATATCCCAATAAATTTATTGAATTGCTTTGTTTGATTTTGTACTGCAGTGAATTGTTATACACTATTAATTACGACTTACGAAATTACTAAATAAATACTTTCTTTTCTTTCAGGCACCCTTAAATATTGACCCAGGCGTGCACTCTTCTTTGAACCTGGAAGCGTTAGCGCGAGTGCCGACTGTTCCAAACATGCCGGGTGTACCACCGGTTCCCACGCTGCCCACTATTACCGAGGCGAAGGTCGTTGACGATAATGGTGAAAAGAAAAAGGTAATTTGTTGTAGTCAGCTACACTACGTACTTATATAAACGTGTAAGTTTTATTTAGAACTATCGAAAAACGAAAACTACTATCTAAAAAAACAAGTAGTTTTTTTTTTTGATAACGCAACAGGCTCTTATTCTTAGTATGAAATTGTCTCTGTTATCCTTTTTATTTTCAAATATTTGTTCTTTTGACATCGCGGCAGAAAGTCTACGAAAAAGACACAATTGTTAAATATTCGAAATATCCATATATGATTTACGGAACATGGAAAAAATAAATATGTTTCGTTTTAACCTTTTACAGATAGACTGTAGGCTCGTTTGTCACCCATATTCTTTGATAAAAGTATTTTAACACAAATTGTTTCCTATAACCATCTATTAACACATAATTGTCTTGTGTTTATATTGATTACGTAAACGCCTAGCTCTATCTCTGTATTCTAAATTCTCCCGTGTTTACATTAATTTGTGTTGTTTGCGTCCAGTATTACTTCCTCATCGTAAGATCTTGTCAGCATTTGTTTTGCTGGTGTGTAGTTGTACCTACTGAAACCAAAACTCGTGCTTACTTTGCATTTGTTTTGTTAGGTATACTCTCTAAAACAAAACACATTCGAAGTAGCAAGTTCGAGATTCTATGTCCTAAAATCGCAACTTTCTATTGTTGATTTTATAAACGTGTAGCTTTACAATTCTGATTTGAATCACGTGTTTGCATTGACTTTATCAGTACATAGTTTTTCAACGCTGATTTGAAACGCTGTTTACTTGTATTTATTTTTCTTTTTATCTGACTTTAAAAAATCCACTTCGACTATATATCTACATCAGTTTTTTCAATACAATAAGGATGACAAACGAACACACAGTCCATAGAGTGGGATTTATCCTCAATAAAGTTGATGATAATACAGAAGCGTTGTCGCCCCTGAAGACTAAGATGGAGTGCTTCGTATCCAGTAAAAAGGGTCTCCGATTCTTAACATCACCATTCGAAACACAGCGGCATTACGCTGGTATTCAGTATAGAGAGTAGTAGAGTTTAGTTTACTGATATAACTGATGTTTTATTTACAACTAACGGCCAGCCCCGACTTTGTCTGGATAGCATCCATTAATGTGGCGTTATTTAGATTGCAGATAGTCAAAGACCAATTGTTTTTCGGATAAAATATAGCGCACATACCTCCTGACCACAGATATAGTAATAATAAGACAATAGAAATGAATTAAGGCGATACCGCGAAAAAATGCACCTCCTTTCATCGAATAGTATAGGACTATGACACCACTAACGAAAGTGGAATTTTGATATACTTAGGTAAATTCATGTCTTCTTGTATTTGCTTGTTCAAAAACACGATTTTATAATTTTGACTCGGTCATAATTATTTGCGAAAACACCTCTAAAAATCACTACAGTTGAAATTACAACGAAATTACTTAATCTATATGCTTGGGAATCACCCAAATATATTCATAACATCAATATTCATAATTTACTTGCTCATTATTTTGATTAATTAAATCATTAATTAAAAAAAATATTTTAAGATTCTGACAATTTCTAAGCGCTTTTAATCGTCGCGGGCGCTACGCAATTTTAGATCTTATGACGGCGTTTTTTTCAAATGTTTATAGAAATTATGTATTTACTCAGATCAGTACGGCGATAGCCTGAAGCCACTTTTTCGATGTGTCGTCTTAACGCTCGATTACTTCCAACCCGATGTCGCCACATCTTCCCGTATTATAAACACACGCAATGCACAATCATATCTAATGTTCACATTACATTGCTTGGCGAGTTTGTCAACGTTGCGTGCGTCGCGTATTACGGTAGAACAAAAGCAGCAATGGTAATTGTAAATACGAAAAATAATAAATGAAAGTTCACAAAGGTAAATATCATGGTAAAGTATTTATCTAGATGTAAATTAGTTAAAACAACGATAATTAGTAAATAATCAACTTACCGATGAAATGTTATGCTGCAATTCACCATTATAAATTTATAATAACACTAGCTTGCCAGGCAGGCGTTGTTCTGCCCTTTTCGACGACTTTTGTCGTGTCCTATTAAAAGTCCTTAAATTCGCAAAAAATATTGTGGGTCACTTATGGGCAAAAAAACTATCCTATCTCTCAAGTTGGACCAAAATGCACACGGTGTGCAAATTTTATTAAAATCGGTTAATTACTTTAGGAGTCCATCGCGGAAAAACAACGTGACACGTAATTTATATATATTAAGGCCGAATACGAAGAGAACTGGCGAAATTTAATGTATTTATCTTCACTACAACTTTGACCTGAAGTAATTCTAAGCGTTAAAACATTTTTTGTAGGTTTGTTCGGTTCCTTCACAAGGTGCCCGCAGTTGTAAAATTTTAAAATAAATGAATATACCAACAAATAAAAAAATGTTATTTAAAAATGATTGTTCTTCCAAAACTCTGTAATTTTAATTTAGGAAAAATTTTTTTACGTAAAAATGTTTGTATTGTGATTCCGAAGGTGCCTGTCGTCTTTATTTTCGATACAAAATATGATTTATTAACATAATTCGTTTTAATTAAAAACACCTAATAGTAATATCGTATATTGCCAGATAAAAGTTTGCCGTAATAAATTACCAGGCGCTTCGACGTGTGACGTAAGGTGACAACAGTCGTTGTGTCTGTAGCGAAAATCGTTAATTTAGTGTTTTATACGCATTTAAGTGAATATAAATGTGAATATGGGTAGGAAAAGAAATAAATGTTACCTAAGTGGTAAAACAAAGAGAGTTTATCGCATGAACGCTGCTCGAATGTTGTATTTTGAGGTTAATACTTATATTTTTGTAAGGTAATTTTTTGTTTGAGGCTGCCTAATAGGCTGCATTTTTACTCATTTACATTAGCCAAACTGATCATTTATACTTTTCTAGTTTCAAGTGAGAAACACTAAAAATGTAAATATCAAGACCGAGTCGGAAAAGAATGTACAGAGTAGTGCAAGCACAGAGACCGCAAATAATGTCATAGTCAATGTATTGTCCGAAAGCATGGGGTAAGTACATAATTAAGAAAAACCGAAATACTTCGGATGTGAAGTGATTGACCAGTCGGAGTAGTGTTGTGAGAATTTACATAAACAGTGCCTATCCCCACTATGGGGCAATCACCGACTTTTTATTTATTTTTTTCTTTATTATTTATGCAATTTGCATTACGGCATCTTGTAAGACTCACAAGAACAAACATTTTCAGTTATATGAGGTTCTTTACGTACGATGCACCAATTAAGAAAAAAAAATCGATATCAATTCAATAACTTTTTGAACAATATTTTATAACGAATAAACTACAGAATTTATAATCTATAGGAACTAATATTATAAATAAGAAAAATTTAATTAAGAAGTAACCAATGCTCTCTGTGTTGCATTACTCTGTATACTGAGCTAGCTCAATCAAATATAATATAATCAAAGCCCGGCTTTTATTTATATTATACATGTCTATATAAACAAAGCGTACGGGTAACACACGTGATGTTCGATAGACGGCGCGTGGTTTGCTGCGAAACGAGCAAGGTCAATCGCGTCGTATTCGGCCTTAAGATAAATTCACGTACGACGTTCCCCGCGCAATTGAATCACAAAATGGTGAATGATGTTCGTCAATACATCATCGTGGCTACAAAGTCACGCGTTAATGCGACTTCTATTGTCTTATTATGGCGATTTCTGTGCTCCTGACATTGTTCTTTATCTGTTTGTAAAGTCGCATCAGAATCTTTACAGGCATTTCGAAGATTAGCCCGGATAGACAGATTGCAGACAGGCAGACAACATTTAAAAAAAAATTTCATTATATCTTATTGCAGGGGATCATTTTAAATCCCCTGAGCTAAAAGACAAGACAGATATCTTTAGGGTGGTCCAACATACATTTGACTGGGGTAATGGCTCAGGACAATATTTTGTGGCATTCTTCGGGGGAGGCCTATGTTCAGTAGTGGACTTGTGAAGAACTGTAATGATGATGATGAACCTATCATATCTACACATTTATGTTTTTTTAAATAATATTATTTGTTTGCAGGCCGAGAACGGTTCAGCCGTGGCCGTCCAGCCGATGTCGCGTAACGTATCTTCCCCGGCGTTCAGCGCTCAAGCCCCGGGCTTACCCAAGAACGGCTCGGTGCCGTTCTTCGACCGCCAGAGGAAGCATAGCACTGGCGAAAGGTCAGACAATTATAGGTAACCAGAACACTTTGTACGCTCGTGTCGTCCGGTGGAGGGGATACATGTTGGCTTTCCATCTGCCAGCTACTGCCACTTTCTGTGGCAGGCTGACGATAGTAAAAGTAGGTATTGATCAATTTCTCGACGACGTACGACACTTTATGTGGTAGCCTTAGTGAATTTGTGCTCGAATTGGTCGCCTTGACTCAGGATAGATCACACTCGCACAGAATAGAAGCGTAATATATCTGCATAATGCAGCAGTGTTTCATATAATCATTGTAGAACTGGAAACGCTTTGCTACTCGAGAACATTCCTTCACATTAGTTGTCGGTTCTTTGAGCTACATGGCCGGCCCATTGCCACGTCAGCTTACTGATCCGCAGGTTTTTGTAACCTACTGCCATAGGTAAAATCACTTTTTATTAGTTTTCTTAACAATGTACCAGAGATTATGTGCTCTAAATAATATGTATCTGGTAGGTCGTGAACGGTAAACTTATTGCTAGATTTCTCAGTCAAAAATCCTAAAGATTCTTCAATTTGTGCCTCTACCAGTCCGGCATTAGTAAAGTTACTCTCGACGAATACTCGACGACTGTCGCCGAAGGTTTGGCACTTTACATCTCTTACAGAGGACTTGCTGCGGCTATTTATTCCGCGCCGGGTTGTCACGCCAGTTGTTTGATTTCATTGTGCTACATTTTAACCTCTCAATCCCTAAGCGGTCGAATTCGACCGTGGCGCTATTCCCTCAAACTCCCAAGCGGTGGGATTCGACCGCCCACACCCACAGCACTTTAAACCATTAAAACTTATATTTAGGTACTACTTTTCTATGAAGAAGTTTGGCATCATAGAATCAATATGTGTGTATAAATGTCCTATCCTCTAGTGCAATAAGAAGTCAGTTAGTCGGTGAATATTTATTTATAATCTACGGTCATTACGTACGCCATTTTCATTTGGATGTTGTTGTGTTGATTTTTGGTTTTTTCTAGTGTTTTACTATAGTATTTTATTATTAAATTGTTATAATAGTTTTTGTGTGAATATAATTTATCTTTTAAGTAAATAATATCGAGTAATATGATAGTGATTTTCACGCTGCTGACGTCCGTTTGTAATGTACCCGTTTTTTGGTATCAAACTACAATAGTCTTTTTGTAATGAAGTAAAACCTGACTGTTTAGACCACATGATAAAGAATTTTGTATAGATTTTATAATGCTAAACTTCTTCATAGAAAGGTAGTTTCTAAATATAAGTTTTAATGGTTTAAAGTGCTGTGGGTGGGTGCGGTCACGCGTGACCGCTCAGGATTTGACGGACGCATGCGACTGCATGGGATTTTTATGGGGATTGAAGGGTTAATTTTTATTGTATTGACTTCATGAAATAGTGGAACCGAAGAGTTCTAAACAGAAATAAATTTAGCTAACATTTAGTCGAAATCATATACAAATAGGTTGAGGGATATTTCGCAATAAACCTATGACTTTGATCTCTGGCTTAAGAAGTACAAACTTGTTGACCAAACTTTGCCCAGCTCTTTTCATAGTTTTTGAAAAACTCATGGACAACAGTAGACTTAAAAGGCTGATGATGATTTTACCTGCTTGCGCAAGCTTTGAAAATAATTGTATATCTCTTCTTTTCAAATATTTTCCCATCAAAAAAAATTCGAATCAACCGATTAATATAACGTTGTACCGATGTACTGATTAGCGGGTTTTCGCTATTGGTACTGTGCTTGTTCACGGTACGGGCTCTATGAGCCGCTATTTCTAGTCCCATTCTTTATCCGTACGGACTGTATCTTATTTTACCGTTTTCAGATTTAAACCGTCCCTAGCTGCTATTAAAGCCACATCCAAAACGTCTATGAACAGCCAACATAGAAACGCACCTGACGTAAGTTTATATTTGTAATTTTTATTGTTTGTTATTGTTACCTTATTTGTTACACCACAACCTAGGTTTATTTAAAAAAAGAACGTTATCCTACAGTAGAATTTTCTCCTGTATTGTCGAGACGATTGACATGCATAAGTTGCACAGAGATAAATATCCAGACGGGGAACAATTATTTATAGGTCATACAAACACTAGTTATTTGAGCGCCGCAGTAAAACGCTTAGCAACTGTGCTACTGTGTGTCTTCAAGGCAAGACTAGACACGTAGCTATGGGACTTTTATAGATTGACTCTAGGATTAAGCTTTATTAAGGCGTTATTTTTCTTTCGATTCTTGTAACCAAAATCATCGTGTCAAATTTTCTCAAAAATGACCATATCGTTGTATTCCTGGCAGGGCGACGCAGAAAGCGGTATGTACAACTCGAAGCTGTCCGTATCTGCGGCCAGGGAACCGTCGAGAATTGTCCGTCCGATGTCCCGGAAGGACATCTTCTACTCGGGCTCCGTGCTCAACCTACCGCAATACCAGAGCCAGAAATCGCTACAGGGATACAGGAACTCCGTTCTCAGCTTGCCCCAGAGCCGACAGGCTGGTGATTTGGACAGACAGGAACGTAAGTAAACCATATAATAAGGTCAAGGGAATCGTTAAAAACTTGTTGAAAACCCGTAATATTCAGTCTCGTTTTATTATTTTCGATATTAGTTGTTTGAGAGGGAAGGTGTTTTTTTAACTCAAGAACTTTTTAACATAAGTAACATCCACACAGTCCACTTGGTGGTAAGTGAATAAGGCCCTACGTATGTATTATGAATTAAAATAAAGATGCGTTCTCTTTTTCACGTGGTAACTATAATATAACCGTAATATAACTGCAATGTGGCCCACACTGCGGTATATTATGGTTGTAGCACGAACTGGTTGGTCGACTAGGGAAGGACTCAATACCAGTGTAAAATACGTTTCAAATGGTGAGTGTAGAGAATCAGAGACCCTTTTGACATGAATTAGGGCAGCGCGGTGGACACTTCCTTACAATAAAACCCTGTTAGAAATAAGAGGAGAAATGTGCTCAAGAGTGTGGAGTTTACAAAATGTAACTTTATTTCACTTTGGCCGCAACTTATTTTTATTCTCGGTCTCGTCTACAGTCTCGACTAAAATTAATAAAATAAATTTTCGATTAGACCTTACTGGCTTATATGAGTATTTTAAACGAGTTTCATTTATTTCATTTATTTTATTATACCAGTGGTAAATGGAAAAAGTGACTTTCAATAAGTATTGTTATAATCTACATTGAATAAAAACGTTTCTGTTTCTGTTTCAGAATATGACTTATGTCCATGTCTGACGCTGCCGGAATCGTTCAAATCGGTGCTGTCTTCTATGTTAGATGTCAGCTTGCTACGCGATCCCGCTTTTATGCTCATCGGCCTCTCCAGCTTTTTCGGAATGGCGGGCCTCTATGTGCCTTTTGTTTACATCGTCGATGCGGCCTGCCTAAATGTAAGTACATGTTATAGTTCTTGCCATTCATAATTTTTGGTTAGACGTGGACGTGAACGTTGTGGCATATTGCGTTTTTAAACGAGCTCTCAGATGCAAGCGACCATGCGTACAATTGTTACATATACGTTTCTTTTTTAATTATATGGTAATATATCTATTCTAAAACTATATAAACTTATCTAACAGGTCTAATGTAATATCATTATACATTTAAAAATTGTTGTTATGGATTCTCAAATACTAACTATAAATTATCTATAAATTAATACTAACTATAAATTATCTAACCAATGACTGTATATGTACATGCATAAGGACACACACATACGGGCGTGCACGCTCGCATGCAAGCGCACATATTATGCTAACACACTAACACACTAAACTCTAACCTCTAATACATGTTAAAATAATATTTTAGAAATTAAGGTACTTTTCTTTTACAAAATTAGGTCCCTCACATATTTGTCCTATTTTTTATACTCTTTGTATATATAATAAGTAAGAAATTGTAATAGAACATAAGCTTTAGCATAAGATATATTGTTAACTTGTTTGTGGTTCTCTAAATAAATTAAAAAAAAACTATATATTGCATATAGAACAGCATTAAAGAGGCTTCATAAGCTTACATGTCTCGTAAAGCAAAACTTACAGACGAAAATGTTTTACCGAAGAATATTGTCTGCAATTACTTATGAAGCCTACCAGCCTTACCAGTTCAGATATGCTCAGATAGTATTGGTAACAGTTCTGCTTAGAGTTTCTTCTCTTATCTTCTTCATCTTAAAAGATTATATATTTAAGTAGAGCTCACGTACGTCCATGATTTGCAAAAAGAATAACATTATATTGAGCAATGTTGATGTGAGCTTTAAATACAAAAATAAAGTAAAATAACAGCCTATATACGTCCCACAGCTGGGCACAGGCCTCCCCTCATTTATGAGAAGGTTTTAGGGCAAGGAAGTGTCCGCCGCGCTGCCCCAATGCGTGTTGGCAAACTTCATATGACTTCGAAATAAATTTTTTTTCTTATTTTTCAGACATGCAGGTATCCTCACGATGTTTTCCTTCACCGCCGAGCACGTGGTAAATCAGCACTTAAAATTGCAATTAACAATTTCTCTGGTGCCGGCGGGAATCCCTGGTTAATCGCGTTCTGTTATATTTATCACGGCTCAAGCTTAAATACAAGCTTGCCTTTAATTTAGTAGAACACGAGGAAACTAATGTTGTTTTACGATTTTAGGGAGTGGATCCTTCGCAAGCGTCGTTCCTGCTATCTATAATCGGGATCACGAACACGTTCGGTCGTATCGCTTGCGGGGCTGTAGCCGACCTGCCTCGTGTTGATGCGCTTCTGCTCAACAATATATGCCTCGTTATCGCCACGGTCAGTATTAAATTCTAATTCCTCTTGTTTCTACTTCTATTTTGTTTATACAACATGTAACAAAAACCCTGTGGTTCCCGTTAAGTGTGTTATCAGAATCAGTATCCAAGCGTATAGAAATGATTTATTTTTTCAAAAAAAAAAACATTTAAAAAAAATAATTTTCATTAAAAAAATAATTTGCAAATTGTATGTGGTTTTATTTCCTCTAATTCACACGAGTATCTGTAATGCCGGGTCTTTGACAATCCTCTTACTCCTCGGCCAATGCACAGATGATAAAACCACCTACAATTTTTTTATTAATTTTTTTTTTAAATGTGTTTTTAAAAAAATATTTCTATATGCTTGGATACTGATTCTGATAACGCAGTTAACGGGAACCACAGGGTTTTTGTTACATATTGGGTGCGTTTGGCAGAAAAAAGCGCTAGCAAGCGCTTGTAAGCAAAATGGCGATCGTAAGCGGTAAGCGCTGTCAAATCGTAAGTAGCTATTTTCATCCAGGACACGATGTTAGTTTTAACCGCGGAACCTAACCTAATTTAAATATATGTTTGTAAAGTATTCATATTAAAAACTTACCGATCATGAATTTTTAATAACATGTTTATTCATGTCAATATATTACTTAAAACTAATATTGTACAAAACAACTTAATAAACTCTACTTCAAAATAAACAAATTAAATAAGCAAAATGGCGGATTGTGTCAGCGCTACTGAAGTAGAAATCGTGTCCTGGCCGAAAACTATTTCAGCGCTTGTAAGCGCTTGCTAGCGCTTTTTTCTGCCAAACGCACCCGTTATATATAGTGGAGCCACGCTGCAGCTATATTGTTATGGTTGTAGCACGAATGGGTCGCTTGACCGGTGTGGCACCACGCTCGCATCGAATACTAGCGTCAAATAGCAGCACAATGCTGTTGTGTTTTGTATGTTGAGTGTAGAGAACCGGAGACCCTTATTACTGGAAACGAGACATTCTATTTCTTAACGGGTGACAAAACATCTGCATTTTGATTCGTAATGGAAGATAAATGTAGACGTCTATGGGCCGCAGCAACCACTTGCCATCAGGTGGACTGTGTACTCTTTTGTCACCCTTATCTTATAAAAAAGTTTAAACTTTATGTAACCTTGCATATCTTCTGGGACTTTGTTGTAATATCGTATACATTATCCCATAAAGTTACTGACTTAATTTTTTTACAGGTATCGGTTGCCGTTACGCCGTTCTGTTACTCTTACGCTGCTTACATAGCAGTTGCGGTTGCTTTCGGTATAGCTATCTGTAAGTATCGTCAATTATTTTTGTGGCTTTAGAACATTTCTGATTTATCCTTTTGCTAAGTTTTTTTGAAACTTAGCCACTCCCCAATATACGCGCTTTCCAAAAATGGTGCGCCACTAGTTGGTAAAAATCAGCAGAAAATAATATAGCTGCATGCGTACTTTATTAATATTACTTTGAAAAATTATACTTACAATTAACATATTCGTTGGCGCCAAACAGAGCCAACTGTTATGTTAATAGAGTGATTAAAGGATAAAATTTCTTATGTTTACGCGACACCTCCCTCAGTCACCCCGTTACCATGGATCCTGTAGAGTACTCGAACCGTCTGGTATTTAAAATAAGTTAATAATATAATAGATATAATATAGAAAAATATATATAATATAGAGTAAATTTCACAGTACGCGAGCAAACCGAGTTCGATCCCCGCCGGCGATAATGAAATTCTTAAATTGCAATTTTAAGTGCTGATTTACCACGTGCTCGGCGGTGAAGGAAAACATCGTGAGGAAACCTGCATGTCTGAGAAATAACGGAAAAAATCGAAGACATGTGAAGTTCGCCAACACGCATTGGGGCAGCGTGGCGGACACTTCCTAGCCCTAATAACGCTCTCAGAAATGAGGGGAGACCTGTGCCCAGCAGTGAGACGTATATAGGCTGTAACTTTACTTTTTAATAATATAAATGTTAAATGTTAAACGAACTGTAAATGCCACCTAATGGTATGTGGTTTACGGCTGACAGCTTTTTTTATAAGATAAGGATGACAAACGAGCACGCAGTCCACCTGATGGGAAGTGGATGTTGAAGTCCATAGACATCTACATCTATCCTTGATTACGAATCAAAATGCAGATGCGTTGTCACCCGTGAGGACTAAGATGGAATGCCTTGTTTCAAATAAAAATAGGTCTCCGGTTCTCTACACTCACTATGCGAAATACAGCAGTATTAAGCTGCTATATATGCTGGTATTCTGTGAGAGCATGGTCCTTTCCCGGTCGAGCCGACCCATTAGTGTTACAACTATAGAATTAATATAACTGCAGCTTGGCTCTACCACGTAGAAAACCGGCAAACAACTTCAAACAAAGCAAGCCAACGTTGTCACCCCTGAGGACTAAGATGAAATACGTCCACAGCATGTGATTCAAACCGGAACACAGTTGTGTGGACTCTAATGATTGTAGGAAGAAAATAAAAAGTTGTAAAATGGACTCCTTGGCAGAAAAATGAGTAATGACGTAATAAGTAATTAATAGAGCATTATTTATATTGCCCGGGAATTATAAATAATGCCCAATATGAGTAGACAATGTGATAAAAACTGTTGATATATAACACTTAAACACAGTGGGAATAATGTTTTTTATCAAAGGTATTTTTTGTTATGCAAAGGAAGAAATACCTCATTGCTGCCCTTTAAACAGTTTTTCTCTTCCTTCACATTATTACTCTTGTTAATTTCAAAAAGATTTAATACATACAAAGGGATTTACATGGTTAGGTTATATAAAAGGTATAACAAATTGCCCATCAGTTTGGTAGCAATATTCATAATGACCGGACAATTTGATGAATAATGGTTAGTTTGAATTACATAGCCCGATTTGACTTGACATTAGTCATATTGCATGGACATTATAAACAGTGCCCTCATTAATCACTTGGTTTATAACATATATAATCGTCATTCGTCAATGCGTATGTTAATGATTGTGTGACTTCTGAATAACATCACCAGATTCAAAAAATTGTTCACAACTATGCTAGGATCCGATCGTTGGTGCTGGAATCAAGTTATTAATTATTTCTATATTTTATAGACGAAATTATACATAACATGTCATGATAGCTTAAGCCGCGTTTTCACTTTACGAGTATTCTCGGACCGAGTGCGCTCATACGAGCTAGATCGTATAGGAGTCCACTTTGAACTAGGTTGACAAGTTACGAGTTCATCAGCGTTAAAGTAGCATTTAATTTTGTCTCTTTGTACGCGATGACGACTGATCAAGTTGTGGCAAATAAGTTAATCACTGAAGTTCAAAATCATGAAATGAAAAAAAATCAAAGCAAGCGAAAAATTTTTGGCCCGGAACTGGATGTGACGAAACTAGGTGCTTCAAATAATTTTAGTCGAGAAGTGGAAGAGGAAGATAAAACCACTTTTAGAAATCATTTGAGATTAAACGGCGAACAATTTGAGTATCTGCTAGACACAAACCTCAAGAGTAACATGTTCGTTCCACTTTTTTTTAGTTGGCGCCATTTTCCCACTAAAAATTATCCGAGTTTACTCGTAAAAATAGAACCTCATCCGACTCCACTCTGATCGGATGATCACTACACACTACGAGTAGCGTCCGAGTAGGCATCCGAGCACACTCGGTCCGAGAGTACTTGTATAGTGAAAACGCGACTTTAGTGTCAAATAAGAATATCACATAATCTGGACCTAATAGGTGGTTCTAAATAAATTTTACTATTATATGTATCATTACTGTCAAAAGTCCAGAGTGAGTACGAAATAAAACTCATGCGTCACCTACCGGAAATTACAGAACATCGCTTAACGGGTAGCTAGTAATTAACACATTATTGTCTCAACAAAGTGAAATAATTTCAGCCGGCTACATCTCCCTAACGTCTATCATCCTCGTGGATCTCCTCGGGCTGGACAAACTGACGAACGCCTTCGGCCTGCTTATCCTGTTCCGTGGAGCAGCCGCTATAATAGGGTCACCACTTGCCGGTGCTGTTTACGATATGACCAAAAACTACGATGCCTCTTTCTATATGGCCGCTGGATTCTTCTTGGCTTCCTCTGCCGCCTCTTTCGCTGCTCCCATGTTCCGCAAGTAAGTATATCACGCACAACTTAGTAAGTGCTCGGTTATTATTTGCTTTATTTGAAAATAATAATAATAATAATGTCCTCCAGACCGATTTCGGTCAAGGCGGCCAGACTCAACGGAGACTAGCCATCGGCGCAGGACAGGATTATAGTGCCCAAGTGTATGCGCAAGCACAGGTAACGCCAGGCACGGTAAACCAACGCGGCCGGAGAGAGATCAGGCGCAGGACCAACGGCTTTACGTGCTTTCCGAGGCAAGGGGTGAGACACCGCCAACTTGCTGACTCCGGGCGGCTACTGAGAATTTCTTGACAGAAAAACTCAATAATTGATTTTTGGTCCGACCCGGGATTCGAACCCAGGACCTCATGATCAGCAGTCGCACTACTACCACCACTAGACCAACGAGGTAGTCAAATTGAAAATAAGTATGTTAAAATGTAAACGAATGCCTCTTGAATGCCAAAGATCTAGTCACATTTGTAACATTTTCATTGCCTGTTTTATAGTTCTGACAGCCAGGCTGTTGTGTCTGTGCCTGACCATCCTACGAATATATTTACTACATTTTTATATTTTGCTAGCTTTCCACCCTGCGGTTTTGCCCACATTTAATCAAATTTTCCTGATATTAAGAGTCGTCCATCGGCCATGAGCTAAGTACGTAAGTAAGTACATGAGAAGTGTTTAAGGGTTCATTACATATAGGAAGTAGATTACCTTATAAGAATCTATGAAAGCTGCGTAGTATTACAATATTATAAAAATCCGTTACCCCATAATATTGTTACGAGCTTAGGGTTTGTGACAATAAAAACTACCGATTGAATTACCAAAATAGAAATTTTAATTACCGAACACCAATTAAAACTTAAAACAAGCTAACAATTAATCACACGACACATTAACAATTTATTTCGCAGGTATATCGGTTCGGAGTCTTCACTTGTATCGCCATTTAAGTTTAGTTGTAGAAAGTTCTTTCCCAGTTCCGCCACTCGATACTAGATGGCGCTAGTGGGAAAGTTCTATCATGGAACTTTCTAGAAAGCTCCCCTCGCTCTGCTACCCTGCGTTAGTGGCATTAATTATGGCTTGAAACAATATAAACCTGCGGGTGTCGTTAGTGACGTCAGAGGGAAACGAAACAGTATATGGACACCAGCATCATCCTGATAACAATAGAAAATAATTAAAAACTTCGTTCGCCAAGCGTGACAAAATCCGCCCTATACTGCAATCTATTGGCACAGCAGTCAATTTCAGATGGACTGTAAAGAATGAACTCTATAAAAATAAAGATCTTTTATCTATTTTCAATTATTACCAACAGTTTATTCTCTCTCAGGAAACAGGAAGAGGTCCAGCAGCCTATGGACGTTCTGACCCCGATCGACGAGGATCTGGAAGAAGGAGAGGATGAGGACCCGGATGACACGCCCATCACTATGGGTGCTCGCATCGGTCGCCCGCCTGCAATCACACGTACCGCCGCTTCGCCCTCAGACCCGCCAAGCCCACCCAGCCCCGAGGAACAACCACAACGCGAAAGTGTGCTCTAAGTAATTACATATAGTGCCCAAAGTGTTATGTGACAGAGCAGTATTGCTCATATTATCCTATGGAAGAACTGTGTACTCTATCCGGTTGATAATAACGTTTAAAGTGCATTGACCGCGTCGAGAATGGATCAGTAGTAATCCTGCCGAAACCTCACTCTCCGAAAGAGTACTCGAGCTTCGTACAAAAAACGCCTAAAATGCCGTGTTGACCATATAAATTGCTCACCAGTGCTCTAAAAGAAATTTGCGCTCTTAATGTTATTGACAATAATGTAATGTTGTGCTGCCGAAGAACTGTGTGCTATATCCTATTTATAATAAAGTTTAAATTGCACCTTGTCCACCAAACAATATTCAAAGTGGAACAATTGCATGGCCATACCAAAATAATGCATCTTACAATCAATATCAACAACCAGTTCAAAATACTATGTTGTCTATTAAACGTCATTAAAAGTTTGCTTTCTTTGCATAAAGGAATAATAATTTATCTAGAAATTGATAGCTCTATATGATGTACAATAATGTTCAAAGACGGTGACGCGACGTGAATCGACACGTGATCATCCCAAATTAACACAAATTATCAAAATACACCAGTGTTGTATAACCTTGTATAAAATTTTATACGTGGTGGAGTCATGCTGCAGTTATATTAGTAGTATAGTTGTAGCACGAATGGGTCGGATCGACCGGGGAAGGACCACGCTCTCCCAGAATAGCAGTGTAAAACAATAGCTTAATCCTGCTGTGTTTCGTATGGTCAGTGTAGAGAACCGGAGACCCTTTTTACTGGAAACGAGGCATTCCATCTTGGTCCTCACGGGTGACAACGCATCTGCATTTTGATTCGTAATCAAGGAAAGATGTAGATGTCTATGGGTCGCAGCAACCACTTACCATCAGGTGGACTTGTGTGCTCGTATGTCACCCTATCCTAAAAAAAAACTACAAAGTGATCCTCAATTTTTAGCACCATACATGATTTTTTTTTTTTTTTATTTTTTATAAATATTTTTTTTATTTTTTTAACTTAATAATAAAATTATTTTTTTTTTTTTTCACTCTTTTTTAATTTCTATCATTCATTTTGGTTTTTTTTTTTTTTTCTTTTTTTTTTTTTTTTTTTTTTTTTTTGTTTTTTTTTTTTTTTTTTTTTTTTTTTGTGGGGGTGGGGGGGTTTGTTTGGGTTTATTTTTTTTTTTTTGGATTTTTTTTTTCTCATGCACATATTCTAAATAACATTTATATCTAAGAGATATGTTACAAGCTTATTTAAGCCCCTTACCGGCGCGCGCTGCCTGGCCGACGACCACTCGAAACGGTAATTTATAGAGTGAGGGCTTCCACAAATTTTTCTGCAACCAGGGCGGACGTGAAGTTAGACAAATCTCATTGCGGCGAACATGAAGGTTAGAGAACAGGAGAACGATCACTACGTACTAAATACCATAGCCCGCCCGTCCTTGAAAATTGTAGAATGTATAGCGGCGCTGACGTCGGTGAGTAGTGACTGCGAAGTTAGCTGTTTATGAGTACAAGTAGATGAAGTTAGTTGAATAATGTACAAATTTTCTCCGCGGCATTGGTGAGAAAATTTTCATGCTCCATAATTTTGTAATTTTTGACAAAAAAAAAACATTAAATAATGGGGAAATATTTTATTGTGCCTGGATGTGCAAGTGGTTTAGCATCTGATCGGAAAAATTAGAACTTAGCGATCGCAGCGCCTCACTTATGGTGTCCATATTTCTGGGACACTATTTTCTACTGTGATCGTTCTCCTCTTCTCTAACCTTCATGGCGGCGAAGTTAAATTGTTACCAAAGTGTACAGATTAATGTTTCTTTTTGAAATATATGTACGATCTTGCATGAATTAGATTAGAAATATAGAACTAAAAAAGAGTTTAAAAACAATTAAGGAGTACTGAGGCTCTTTTTGTGTATATACATAAACTAGAAATCGAAAATCTTTTATTGAAGACGCAATGCGCAAATAACGCTTTTCGATGTTGGTGGCACCGTCTGCCAAATAAGTTCACCTCCGTCCGTACTAGCGACATCTGGTGAACGCAAAGTTGTTAGCTGTCGTTGTAAAGATTCAAGCACTTGAATAAACCTATTAGCTATTACTCTTCTAACTTTAATGAGGTTTAAGTGCAAATAACGGCGTTTAATGGTCTGGTATAAGGTCCGAATTTGAACCCGCCCGATCTAACGCATTACTTAAGTGATAAGTACTTATAGATATTAAAAAAACCAATACATGGTGATATGTGTATGTCTGAGAACCTACTTATATCGGAAATTTACACTAAGAGGATAGTGAAGTGCTATTTCACGTATCTATTTCATAGCTCGTATATCGCCGTATCGTGCGATAGAGAGCCTCGCAAGTCTTGAGGCAATTGCCTACATTTCGATTTTGAAATATTGTTTCGGGCGATAACGATTTCACACTCCTAACCCTTTACGAAATGTGACAATTTTGTTCTCATTAAACTCCATATACCTTAATATAGGTCTGTACTTTTACGTAACGTTGTTCAAGTCGAAAATATAGATATTTAAATGCTAATAACTTAAATCTTACGCACTAGTTCTTTAAAATAAAAATGTATGAGCCTAATTTTTCATTATAACTACAACACTTAAATTAGACTATGCGTACGAGTGTGGAAACGTTATCGCTTTTTGTATTAACATTTACAGCTTCACAATCTCGTTAACATAAAGATTATTATGTTTTAGCCTTTACGTCCAACAGTTCTCAGACGTATATGTCGCATTACTATTTAGAAAAATTCAATAAAACATGTGAAAATAAGTAGATCAATTCTCCCACATTAAAACTATAAGTAAATCGTAATAAAGTTATAAATGCAATAATATTGCACATGCAATACTTGTCTGCACCATTCATTTAAAATAAAAGTAATTGCGGGAGAGTGAGACAGTAATGACAAATATAAGCAATTGTACTTTGTAATGGTCCTAAAATCAATTTTGAATAGAACATTGTTAAGCATAAAGAATTTTTATTTTTAATCTCTAATTTCCGTTACGATTTTATTAATTTATTATACATATATTTTTATTCACGAATTATTCCTTTAACAACTTAAGAAGATTTGTAGTGAAACAACTTTTAAGACCCGTTAATTGTTCAACCAGTAGTTTGTTTCATAAATTGCTTTTGTCATACACTTTAGAACAGTCATAGGAGAAAAAGAAACTTACATACAGAAACCAGGCAAAAATTTATTTAAATTGGTAAATCATATTAATATTTGAAATAATATAACGATTCTAGCTAAATTAGTATAGCATATAGTTTTATATGTTTTCCCGTTTAAAATATAACACACCGAAATTAGTTATAACAACCCTTCAATGCCATGATTAAAATGCTTTTACAATCTCAATATTATTTAAGGCAACATTTCAAAGATTTCTTTATATCTTTTTTAGAGCTGCTGTATGCCCACACTGTTTGGTACCAAAGCTACACATCAATAGCACTTTTAAATATTATTGTCCAAGAATATATGTAAACTTTAAATATTTATTCATATTAATTGAAATGCTCAATTAGTCTCTTTTAATAAAACAATGTACAAAAGTATTTCACAAATTCTAAGAAAGTGGGTAGATCTTTTTTTAGAATAGAATTATGTAGCAGAATATTTTAATTTATTAGGGAGTGTCAAATGGTAATCCTCTATTCATACAAAATCTTAAATTACTTTTTAGTTCAATTTTAGTGGCATCGAACGTAAGTTAAAAAAAAAACTGTATATTTGCGAGTGTTTGTTTCTATGTACAACAAATTCAGTCATAATTTATAGCATTAAGTGATATTCAAAAAGCCTAAAATTAATAAGAAATAAGATGTAAGTCTACAAAAATTTAAATAATCTTGATTTTGTATTAAATCCAAAAAAAAATACCACAAAAATACTTTAAGTATTAAAAATTATTTAGTTTTCAAAAAAATAAGAATTTAGAAATTAATAACAAAAAGCAAAAATATAACCATCTACGGATTTTTAAACAATGCAGAATGAAATAATTCATAACGTGCCATATAACTTAATGTTACAGTTTTGTGGCATTTATACATTACAATAATAAACTAATACTCTTAAGTTTTAAATGCAATGAAATCTGTATTGCCAAAGGTCTATTATTTGCTTAAAGTATTATAATTGATTCTGTTAAATATAAAATGTTAATGACTAGTATTGGAAAAAAGAATTATTATTGTGACCTAGTATTCGCGATGGTACTCTTTGTAATATAGTACTTAAATGTAAGTTAAGAAAATATGAAAAAGCAATCCCTTACATTCTGATGAATTGTTTGTTTGTATATTAATTTAGCATGATTATTTTTTATTATCTTGATGAATTAATTTTGACGATTAAATAACCACTAAAATTAAATGTAAATAATAACTAGGTTTGATATGTGCACAATTAACTTGTAAATACACATAAATTATGTTGCTTGAATGAAATGCTAATATAAATTATTTATGAATATATAACATGTATTCAATTTCACAATGATGAAGATGTCTAAAACATTCTTTATATTCCATTTTTCACGTAACAAATTTTAATGTTAAACATGCTGTATATATTGTTATATTTTGTATTAACAACATTTAAAGATTGAGCTTACTAATCCGTTGAGCTATGTCTGTCATAGGGATGCCTGACTTTTTGTTTTGAATTGATCTTCTGAATCATAATGGATCGTAACCACGTGAATAGATTCACGATTTAATCGTATTGAATTGGATCGATCTTATTCGGTCTCGGAAAATCGTATCGTATTTTTTTTAAAATAAAGAAAAACACAGTAAGCATGCAAAATTATTTATTTTAGCAATGGATACCGTAACAGGACGGTATCCAGTGAGTTTTTCAAAATTATTATTTTTGAAAAGTTAAAAACAGGTTTTACAGTATAAATTCCAGCT